CGTGGATTGATGCTCATGATGTCAATCACTGGATTGTCTGGTCCAGACTCAAGTATTTTACAGACCGCCGTCATATAGCTGGAATATATTGCTGAGTGTAAACAAACAAAACACTCACAAATCAACTTCAAGACCAATGAGTTCTGGTGTCACTTGTGGTCTGCAGAGTGCCTTAACTGGGCTTTTCCCAAGCTCAAGGTTTTACATTTTCAACCAAAACCCCAGAGGTTCTTGATAATGTACACTTGAGGATAGCTCAGTGGGAAAACAGGTTACAAAACTTAACACGATATGTGAGGTTGCAGGTTCGATTCACGTCATGGAATTTTCATGTAAAAGAAAATTGTCACTTTTAACCCAATCATCAAACAGAAAATTTTGTGGTCACGTCAAAAAGCAAGTTTATAAAATGTTAATACCTTGGTATTACAATTGAAATGTAAAACAAGCGGGTTTAGATGTGACCCATTTCAAAACCTAGTTTTTGAAGAGAACTGCTTCAAAACCCGGGCTTGGAAGATAAGCTGGTTACTAGGTTTACCCGAGGTTGTCAGGAACCTAATGCGATATAGGGTAATATGGTGATAGGTATATAACCAGAATTTCAAACTAGGTGCAAAATGGGAAACAGTGGTATATTGTTCAAAACTGGGATTTAAAAAAAATGTTTTGAGGAATTTTAAGCAATAACATGAAACTAATCATCAAGCTAGTTAGTGAAATTTTACTGACATTTGCTGTAGCCTTTGCGCCACTATCAGCCTGTGAGGAAGGTAGGTAAACTCGTAATTAGCGCATCATGCATTGATTGGTGTTCACGCTCTCGACCACTGGTTAGCCAAGCCATCCGTATTTACCCACATGCAGGCTACCATGGTAGGGAATGCAGTATCTCTCGCCCCCTGTAAGTTACTTGTCACAGAGCCCGGTGTGAAGCCTGACACTTACAGTAGGATGTGTTTTAGCATGTGTTTATCCGTTCTGTTGAGCCTGGTGTGAAGACTGACACTTACAGTAGGATGTGTTTTAGCATGTGTTTATCCGTTCTGTTGAGCCCGGTGTGAAGACTGACACTTACAGTAGGATGTGTTTTAGCATGTGTTTATCCGTTCTGTTGAGCCTGGTGTGAAGACTGACACTTACAGTAGGATGTGTTTTAGCATGTGTTTATCTGTTCTGTTGAGCCCGGTGTGAAGCCTGACACTTACAGTAGGATGTGTTTTAGCATGTGTTTATCTCTTCTGTTGAGCCCAGTGTGAAGACGATACTTACAGTAGGATGTGTTTTAGCATGTGTTTATCCGTTCTGTTGAGCCCGGTGTGAAGACTGACACTTACAGTAGGATGTGTTTTAGCATGTGTTTATCCGTTCTGTTGAGCCTGGTGTGAAGACTGACACTTACAGTAGGATGTGTTTTAGCATGTGTTTATCTGTTCTGTTGAGCCCGGTGTGAAGCCTGACACTTACAGTAGGATGTGTTTTAGCATGTGTTTATCTCTTCTGTTGAGCCCAGTGTGAAGACGATACTTACAGTAGGATGTGTTTTAGCATGTGTTTATCCGTTCTGTTGAGCCTGGTGTGAAGACTGACACTTACAGTAGGATGTGTTTTAGCACGTGTTTATCTGTTCTGTTGAGACCAGTGTGAAGACTGACACTTACATTAGGATGTGTTTTAGCATGTGTTTATCTCTTCTGTTGAGACCGATGTGAAGACTGACACTTACAGTAGGATGTGTTTTAGCACGTGTTTATCTGTTCTGTTGAGCCTGGTGTGAAGACGACACTTACAGTAGGATGTGTTTTAGCATGTGTTTATCTGTTCTGTTGAGACCGGTGTGAAGACTGACACTTACAGTAGGATGTGTTTTAGCATGTGTTTATCTGTTCTGTTGAGCCTGGTGTGAAGACGACACTTACAGTAGGATGTGTTTTAGCATCTGTTTATCTGTTCTGTTGAGCCTGGTGTGAAGACGACACTTACAGTAGGATGTGTTTTAGCATGTGTTTATCTGTTCTGTTGAGCCCGGTGTGAAGACTGACACTTACAGTAGGATGTGTTTTAGCATGTGTTTATCCGTTCTGTTGAGCCCGGTGTGAAGACTGACACTTACAGTAGGATGTGTTTTAGCATGTGTTTATCCGTTCTGTTGAGCCTGGTGTGAAGACTGACACTTACAGTAGGATGTGTTTTAGCATGTGTTTATCCGTTCTGTTGAGCCTGGTGTGAAGACTGACACTTACATTAGGATGTGTTTTAGCATGTGTTTATCTCTTCTGTTGAGCCCGGTGTGAAGCCTGACACTTACAGTAGGATGTGTTTTAGCATGTGTTTATCTGTTCTGTTGACTCACTACTTATAACTTAGTAAACTTGCTTCTTGAAACAGTCCTGGCGAACACAAAACTGTAAGTAAGCCAGAGACAGCCAGATATTGAGGTTTTATGTTCTCTGTCAACATGCCAGGGTTGTGAGGGCAAATCAGGACAAGACAATGTTCTCATTTTCTGTTCACGAGTTCCACCTACTGGGGCCAAAGGTCAACATCAGAAAATTTATAATAGTAGTTCAAATTTGTTTTTATTTGCCTGACCATTCTGGTTACTGTTTGATTGGATGGGCATTCTAGAAGTTGGTATTAAAGTAAGAAAACGTACAACTTTATGGATAACAACTTCTGGTTTATTGCATATAGCGACGTTTTGATGTAGATTCTCCTGTTGTCAAGCTGGAGTGACTACAATCAAGTGATGAGAGGTATATATGTATGACCTGTTTTGATCAGAAGCAGATTAACATTGACAACAACAGGTAATAGATAACAAGTAGCATACAGATAATTGGATGAAGCCAAATGTACAGTAAGAATAACAAATAGCACACAGAGTAATGAAGCACACAGGTAATGAAGCCAGATGTACAGTAAGGTTAAGGATTTAAAGGATTTTACAGTTGTGACAAGCTGAAAGGGTCCTAATTAAAATAGTCTATTGCTTGACTAGATCTTCATAGGTAGACGAAATGTAATACCCTTGATCTCTGGTGATCAAAGATTTGTGACGGCGGATTTCTATAGCTTCTGAGAGTTTTCTTTTCTTTTATGTCATGCAAGTATACCTCTCATCACTTGCTTGTTGTCACTCTAGCTTGATAACGATGCAAGAATCTACATCGAAACGTCGCTATATGCAATAAACCAGAAGTTGTTATCCATAAAGTTGCACGTTTTCTTACTCTGTTCGTCAGGAAATCGAAAAAAAAATATAAAACTTAAAATATCTAACAGAAGTAACTTTTAAAAAATAACAGACTAAATACACATGGTAAATAGTAAACATCCTGACCACAATTAACATTTATTTTTTCCTGCTGATCAACACAACCTCCTGCCAAATAAGATATAAAATACTATAAAGTAACGCTATTTTTTGTCATTTGAAGAAGCTCGAGATCTTCCATTAACAGTTGAAAAGACCGAGGGCTTCTACAAATGATAATGCCCTGAAAAATAGTGTTTCCGTTGTTATAGCTAAAATGGATAGGATTTGTTATTATACAAACATATACAGCAAATATCGGTTTTGAAATCAATCAACACACAACGAATGTCACTAACTCACTTTTACAAATATGGAAACGTCATAGAACAAACCAGATGACGTCACTATTGAACATCAATATGATGTCACCTAACAATGGGCGTGATAATGGCCCGACGTCAAGCAATATGAGGGCATTATCAAGTACAGTGGCCTGCTCATTTCTGATAAAATGCGGACGGTTTAATGATAATTCTATCCATTTTAGCTATAATGACAATAACAAATGTATATTTATTTCGGCCCACAAACAAATTTGTAGCAGAATATCTGTGAACCATAAGACAGCAATAGTGTGGCCTAAGTCTCATTGACTGCCTCCCACTGCTATAGGATCTGAAGATATTGACTTGGGAGGTAACACAAACCCTTCTGATCATATTTAAGACGTACATCCAGCTACAAGGATATATTTTCCAATATGAACTAGTGACACAATGCTGTCACCAGGGCAGGGAAGGTATTTATTATGAGGGTAGATATTACACACGCGATGTATGGTAGAGAATAATCCCTGCATGGCACGTTTTTAATGTCTCAATCTTAAAGGGGGACTTTGCTTCATGGTCTGGTGCCTGTTTTCGGCTTAGTTCTAGATACATGTATTGTCATTAATACCATGTGTAAACTGAGACATGGCCTCTGTGCAGAAACACATACAGACAGAATTTGTTAATATTGACTCACTAGTTGATATATTTAAGATAAAAAAACACATTAAAAAAACCAGAAACATGTGCTTCATCCTTAATACTGTCTGTACAATTAGACAGTATCTTTCTTTAAAGGTCACATTCTCGTAGCAACCAGTCTATTCTTAGGTGCCACTCAACATCTTAATGTGTCCAGTGCACTCCTATATAATGACGTTAACCCTTAACTGCTTGGGGGCACTGGTGGCCAAGTCGTCTAAGGCGCTGTGATTCGCTGCGCCCTTGGGCGTGCCAGAAACCTATGATTGTGGGTTCGAATCCCGGTTCGCCCCATTTATGTTTCTAGGTTTGTCAGCACCATACTGGCTCATGGGTTTCACCAAAGAGGTAAATGTCTGAGACCTGCATCACTTGAGGCTTATCTCTCACATTAAGCTGACACGCCGTGATATAACTATATTAAAGTTAAAACACCGTTAAACCCAACTCACTCACTCACCTGGATCCCTGTCTGATTCTGTGTGTTTCACCTTTACAGTGAGTGAGTGAGTGAGTATGGTTTTACGCCGCTTTTAACTATATTCCAGCAATATCACGGCGGGGACACCAGAAATAGGCTTCACACATTGTACCCATGTCGGGAATCGAACCCGGGTCTTCGGCATGACGAGCGAACACTTTAACCACTAGGCCACCCTTTCACCTTAACAAGTGTTATGAGCTGACATTGGTGTTGTGTTGTGTTGCAGGTGTAGGGAGGCAGGATGGATGGGACCGACGCTGATGGGGAGTGGAGTGACGACGATGGAGTCAAGTCAGGTTCCGTCACAGGTACGTCATCACTTCATAGTCACCAACACTGATTCTTGTAACCATTTAGTATTCAGGGGTTGGGGAAAGGGGTGTCTGGGGGGATTATTTCAAGACATACAATTTGTTGCTGTTGAAAGAAGGTTCTGAACAATTAAAAAAGATTCAAGACATCAGACATGTCCAGCAAACAGTTTCGTGGGGTAAAACTTGAGTACAAATGATATTTTTTTCAGTTTTCCTCAATTCGCTGGAAAGAGTTGTGTCCCTTTTGAAGAGTTGTGTCCCTTATGCATGCCAGAAAACCATGATCGTGGGTTGGAATGCTGGTTTGCTCTGTCATACCTGTGCTGGAGGGATTCATCAAAGTGACACACAACTAAGACCTGCGTCACTTCAAGATTTTCTCCCACATCACATGCACCGTGATTTAACTGAAGTTCAAGGCGGCATTCAGACCAACAAGCTTACTGTAAGAGGTGACTAAGTTGTATTGGATGGTCAGGCTGGTTTATTGATCCCTGGAGGCTTGGGAGGCCTGTTGTCAACTGGATTGTCTGGCCCAGAGTGTGTTTGTTATATAGTCCTCTGTGACATGGCTTAAGTATTGTCAGCCTGGTTCCCTGGGTATGCTGCGCTGGCGCTACACTGACCCAGGCAATGACTGCACAATGGCCGCCTCCACTACTCCACTAGACGAACAAACATGGCGGACACTCCATGTATTAACTATAGAAAAACGCTAGACACTCAGGCACAGTATTCTGACTCCGAACCAACCAGTCCTTGTTTTATAGCCCCTTAATGCCGAGATGGAACCCCCGACCTTCTAGGCTGATACTCTCTATCCGCCAGACCACGGAGGCGGTCTGAACATCCCAGAGAAGTAATTGCAGAGCGCAGGTCCTCCGTTCCTCTCGCGTGTTGTAATGTCAACGGAAATGGTGATTGGGTGGCTACAATGACTGCTGTGGACAAAAAGATCATCTTGGAAGAGCATCTGTTTTGTTTTTCTTTGTTTTTGGTTTAAATGCCGCACTCAGCAATATTCCAGCTATAGTCTGGATCACACAATCCAGTGATTGGCATCATGAGCATCGATCTACGCAATTCGGATATGCTGATGTGCATCAACCAAGCCACCGAGCCTGACCACCTGATCCAATTAGTTGCTTCTTACGACAAGCATAGTCGCCTGTTACGGCAAGCATGGGTTGCTGAAGACCTATTCTACCCCGGATCTTCACGGGTGAAGAGTATCTGTGAATGTTGTGACACTGCTCATGGTATCACATGCATCATGTTGATGATGCTCACACTGTTAACCATTGTTTTGCCTGCTCCAGGCTCAATCATTGTTATCCCCCGCCGCGCGAAAGCGCGAAGCGGGGGATATAGTATTCACGACCGTACGTCCGTCCGTACGTCCGTCTGTCCGTCCGTCCGTACGTCCGTCCGTACGTCCCACCTGTTTGTTGCCGCGATATCTCAAGAACTAAACACTGGATTGTCTTCATATTTGGAACTATGGTGTATATACAGACTCCGCAGACACCAGTCGGTTTTGGTGACCTTGATCCCATTTTCAAGGTCACAGCAGACAAATCTGCTTTTAGAGTTGGAAAACGGTGTTGCCGCGATATCTCAAGAACTAAACACTGGATTGTCTTCATATTTGGAACTATGGTGTATATACAGACTCCGCAGACACCAGTCGGTTTTGGTAACCTTGATCCCATTTTCAAGGTCACAGCAGACAAATCTGCTTTTAGAGTTGGAAAACGGTGTTGCCGCGATATCTCAAGAACTAAACACTGGATTGTCTTCATATTTGGAACTATGGTGTATATACAGACACCGCAGACACCAGTCGGTTTTGGTGACCTTTGATCCCATTTTCAAGGTCACAGCAGGCAAATCTGCTTTTGGAGTTGGAAAACGGTGTTGCCGCGATATCTCAAGAACTAAACACTGGATTGTCTTCATATTTGGAACTATAGTGTATATACAGACTCCGCAGACACCAGTCGGTTTTGGTGACCTTGATCCCATTTTCAAGGTCACAGCAGGCAAATCTGCTTTTAGAGTTGGAAAACGGTGTTGCCGCGATATCTCAAGAACTAAACCTCTCGATTGTCTTCATATTTGGAACTATGGTGTATATACAGACACCGCAGACACCAGTCGGTTTTGGTGACCTTGACCCCATTTTCAAGGTCACAGCAGGCAAATCTGCTTTTGGAGTTAGAAAACGGTGTTGCCGCGATATCGCAAGAACTAATCGCTGGATTGTCTTCATATTTGGAACTATAGTGTATATACAGACACCGCATACACCTGTCAGATTTGGTGACCTTGACCCCATTTTCAAGGTCACAGCAGGCAAATCTGTTTTTGGAGTTGGAAAACGGTGTTGCCACAATATCTCAAGAACTAATCGCTGGATTGTCTTCATATTTGGTACTATGGTGTATATGGCGGGGGATATTTCGTCACTCTGTGACAAATACTTGTTAAAATGTGAAGTTGGTCTCTCGCTGATGGAAATGAGAGTGGCACTTGAATGGTAACTCCAGTGATGTGTATCATCATGTTTCACATATACGGCAGAAGACGTTTCTTGATATCTGGAAATTTGTTTCAGCTCTTTCGGACAATGAACCAGATGATATCCAAACGTCATTGAAGATCACCACGACAATCACAACGTCACCAGGCAACCACAAGATAGACCCTGTTCATGCGATCCTAGACAAGATAGATGCCGAGCTGGGAGCTATAGCAACTGCCAACAATATCACTGTAAGCCATAGTAGACACATATACACACAATTTTCTCAATGATTTATCTAAGCCTGCTCAGAGGCTGATATTCAGCCTCAGTCTGCAGCAGTTTTCAGAAGTTACCAAATTGCAATTAAACTTTCTAAAATTTTGTATTTTACTGGACCAGGAAAAAGCTTCAAAGAAAGAGGCACGAAGAAATAAGATATCATATGACCTGATATGACAATGTATGTAGTTGCCTGTCTAAAAAGAACCAGTGTTATGTCACTACCAGTAAGGAACAAAAAAATAAATAAAATGAGCATCTGGCTTGTAGCTACCTTTATGCTTAGTTTTACAACATTGCATTTAAATGCAATGTTAAATACCTCTGATTTTAAGAAATTAAGAGGTAAGGTGGGGTGAAATGGGGTTTAACATCGCGTCCAAGATTATTGCACTTATATAGCGACGTGCATGCATGTGTGTGTGTGGCTGCTTGTACTAGTCCGGACTGATGCCGATTTATAGTGCTAGCTCACTGAGATACCATGCCGCAGTTTAACATGAATACCCCACTCAGACACTGTATACTGACTCCGAGCCGACCAGTCCTTGTTTTAGCCCCTTAATGCCTAGTGTCAGACAGGGTAACAATAAGAAATTAAGAATCCTGATTTTGAACAAAATAATACTTTCCCGAAATAGCAATGGGATTGTGACTGTTTCATCAACTAAAAGATTTATATTGCATTATTGCATGAAGTTCACATGTCAGCTGTTATGGTGTGTTTATACTATCTTTTTCTGAATAGATTCCTTGGTAAATCAAGATTATGGATTTCAGATTTGTTACAAGGGCATATTTATGACCTTTCTCTTCAAGTCACAACCTATAATTGATACCTGTATCGATAAAGCAATTTATCTTAATCATCAGCTGGCACTTGAGCCATGATCTGAAACAAACATTCTTCATAGAAGTATCAAGAGTCATTTATCACGTATCTCATCAACTGCAATGTAAACTCAATGATTAATAATCAATACGTTCCGAGTACAGACTCTCAATCAATGTATGTTACCTTCACAGACCTTCAGTCAACCCCAAAGTGTCAAAATATCTCCTTTTCCCACTGTGGACCGATTCCGGCTTGAGGCCCAGGGTGTGGTGTTTGACACCACTGATGAGCTGAATCAACGGGACAAGCTAGGTGAGTCAGGCATGTACACAGTGGTATCATTCCTGTTGGGATTCACGTTAGTATAGGTCCCCAGCAACCTTCCATACCATCCTTCCTTTTTGGATTTCAGGTTAGAATAGGTCCCCAGCAACCTTCCATATCATCCTTCCTGTGGAGATTCCATGTTAGAATAGGTCCCCAGCAACCTTCCATACCATCCTTCCTGGTGGGATTCCAGGTTAGAATAGGTCCCAGAACCTTCAGTACCATCCTTCCTGTTGGAATTCACGTAAGTATAGGTCCCCAGTAATCTTCCATACCATCCTTCCTGAAGGGATTCTGGGTTAGAATAGGTCCCAGAACCTTCAATACCATCCTTCCTGTGGGGATTCCAGGTTAGAATAGGTCCCCAGCAACCTTCCATACCATCCTTCCTGTTGGGATTCCGGGTTAGAATAGGTCCCAGAACCTTCAATACCATCCTTCCTGTTGGGATTCACATTAGTATAGGTCCCCAAGAACCTTCCATACCATCCTTCCTCTTGGGATTCCAGGTTAGAATAGGTCCCCAGCAACCTTCCATATCATCCTTCCTGGTGGGATTCCGGGTTAGAATAGGTCCCAGAACCTTCCATACCATCCTTCCTGTTGGAATTCACGTAAGTATAGGTCCCCAGCAACCTTCCATACCATCCTTCCTGTGGAGAGTCCGGGTTAGAATAGGTCCCCAGCAACCTTCAATACCATCCTTCCTGTGGAGAGTCCGGGTTAGAATAGGTCCCCAGCAACCTTCCATACCATCCTTCCTATGGAGATTCCGGGTTAGAATAGGTCCCCAGCAACCTTCCATACCATCCTTCCTGTGGTGATTCCAGGTTAGAATAGGTCCCCAGCAACCTTCCATGCCATTCTTCCGGTAGGGAATCAACAACAGAGACTTGTTACATCTGTTAAGAGAAACACTTTTATCAACACTACATAAAGCACCTGAATATACTTCACTTTTCCACATCCCAGTTTTAGGTCACATACGTGGGGGGAGCTCCGACCGGGATACAGGTGTTGGAACAGGAAGTGTACAGGATGATGCTGGCTCGGAACACAAGAGGATTGTGGGCAGTGCTCAGGTTTACAGCGATGTAGGGAACCTGACCGATGTCCATACAGATGGTAGGAGAGGAGCCAAGCTAGCAGCGCCACTGGAAGGTGCATGGCCATAGCCAGCGTGTCTGTCAGCTTCCTGTCTTAGTGTAGTTCTCTAGCATAGTCCAAACTTGTAGCTTAGGTCAGGGATTCCTGTAGATCTGCTCAGAGGCCGATAGTCATCCCCAAGTCACCCAAAGTCAGGCACAATGTTCCTGATTGGAATTCCAAATCTTCCAGTTCATCTAATGTATGTCAGAGGTGGATGTATTTTCACTGAAAACATTCCACAAAGTGAAGCCTGTGTTAAAGCATGGGAATTACGATCACCTTAGCTCTGTGATCCCATTATGGATCGAGGTCCTGGATCAATTTAGCTAAGTTATACATTATTGCATGGAAGGCAATGTTAATGTATGTCAAAATTAAATTAAATGAGAACAAAAAAATTGTAAAGGGCACTTATAGATTGAATTTCTAGATAAATCCCTGTCAGTTTTAGAGATTCATTATCTTTCTTCATATCAATTTACATTCTATCCAGTGCTTGTTAAGAAATGACTTTGTTGGGTGTTTTTACATTTGATCATGCAGACTTGGCCATGGACCTTTGAGAGGTGGGAACCTGTTACCATGTGATTAGAGGAGCTCTAATATTACTGTTCAGACTTACTAATCAACTGAGTGGATTATTATTTTGCTTTTGTCTACCCTTTGATTAAGTGCTTGATTGTTTGCTTGTCAAGGAGAAAATTTGGGTTTGATTCCCAACCTGGAGACAAAGTCTGTTGTAGCCTCTTGTTGGTGTTGCATGCTATGATATTGGTGAGAACAAAGTGCAGCTCTACAGGGAGGCAGGGTGGGTGTGTGTGTGTGCAGGGTGAACACCCATTTTTAAAACATACAACAATATCATTTCCTTTTTACCAAATATAACAGTTAATTTACTAATCTTGCACCAATTGTTTCCAAGTAAATTGCCAACAAAGAAAGTATACACCCATGTTTGATAGTGGCTAAAAGGGAAACAAACAAGAAATGTATACCCGTTTTGATAATGTTGGAATTCTTTTGGTCAAATTCAATTTTCAAGTGTATACTTTCTTTTGCCAGGCTCTTTATTTCCATCCATGCTTTTAAATCTTAAGTGTACCTCCTTTTTCCAAAAAGCTGCATCCACGCTTGAGAACATTGCTCGAAGTGGACAAACTGACTCTCTAACTCTTTGCTAGATTTCAAAGTCAACTTCATGTATCAACAATTTTACAAATGTCAACAACAAGGATGTGTCAAAAATGTCGCTCTAAAAGTTTGGGAGTAGTTTGACTCAATTCTTGGCCACCCTTGGGAATAAAAGCAGTTGAAGCATTTGGCATGCCTTACAGAGTTATCCCCCTTTATACTTGTGGCGTCTTGTGGTTGATCTTTGTGGACAATTGGATTGTTTCTCATATCTACCCCAGTTTTTCTGACTTGTTTACATATTGTTATCATGACTGTAATATTGCTGACTGCAGTGTAAACAATGGTCAGTCCCTGCAGGTGTTCCATTTCTGCTGTCTCGAGGTGATGCTTATAGATGTTCATATCGACAAATTGGAAGATTACTGAAACTCATAATATCTGTTTCCTGCCAAACGTTATATACAGCTTGCAGTTTGGCCTTCATTCTTCTTACTTTGTATAATTACTATGTTTTTGAATTGTACTGATGCTCATATTATCAATTTAATAAAATAATCAATCAACTAACATTTCCTACCAGCAATAAGCCCCAATCAGTGTGTAAGGTAGACACAACAAGGTGTAACAGTTTAAAGGGGGGTCTAGGCTCAGACCAACAGGCAGTCCTTTTAAATTGGTTCAAATCATTCATAATCCACTTTTATCTCTGTCAATCTAGCATTGCTTGTTACCCCCTAGGCCTTTATCTTTATTTGTTGGTTTTCAAAGTTTTTGCCTAAAATTCAATGTAGGTGGTTGAAAAATATAATTCAACTTCTAGATTAGTACTGCTACTAATGAATAAAAAAACAAGAAATTTCACTTGGGAAGATGCCGAAAAAGTATTGATTGATTTTGTTTGTTAGAATAAAGATTATAATATATATTATTCACCATTTCTTACAAACTGCGTTGATAATATTTCATGTGTGTTATTCATTTCACCTAATTGTAAAACCGAGTCAGCAGATATATTTTTTTTTCACAAGGTGAATGTCATTACATTTTTCTTCTAATTTCAGTTAATTTTTGTCGGTCTGTCTTGTAAACAAACAAAAAATATACAGTATTCGACGTAATAAGCGCCCAGGACGCTCTCAAATTTAGAAATAGGGTGCTCTTTTTAGAATATTATTTTGGTGATAAGCAGAGTTGAAAGATAAATTTCTTGGTTGAAATGTTTATATACGACAGATATATTGTTCCAGAATTGCCCATAATTAAGGGTGCATATAATACATGAGTGCGTATTATACGCGAATAAATAATTCTTGTGTACATTGATCAATCAGAAGGGGTGCGAATAGGGATTGTTCACTAGCCAATATATTAGTAAATATCGCTGTGGGCGCTTATAAGAGCGGGGCGCTTATTACGTCGAATATGGTATATAAGACTTTAGACAGTATCAAATATGGCACTAGTCACTAAGTACAATGTCTAGACGCAGGATATGGGTCCAAGAGTGTGACCTCGTTCAACCTATTTCTCAGTTCTGCCTACATGGTAGTAAAGATGTTCCTAATGTTGAAAGTACCGGTACATTCCAGACGACCACCGTGGCGAGGATGGCCACAGCGACCTTGACTCCCTGGCCGCCCAGCAGATAGATGAGAAGTTCAAGGAGATCATGCGCAAGAAGCGAGGTATGCACCTGTCAATCATACGACATGCACTTTCAGATTGGTGGTTGTTTTTGCAATCTGTATGTGTCAAACACACCCAACCTGTCTATCATGAAATGGCAACATTGCTGCTGTTTTGGTTGTACATTCTTTTTCGTAAATGTCAGACAAAAATTAATACTAAAAAAAACTGTAATTTAAAAAAATAATTTTTTTTTTTTTCTGGCTTTATTGAATAAATACATATTCCTGATAGATATATTTATATATCCTTTAAAGCTGGGCTTGTTAGACAGCATACTTTTGTTCTAATTTGCAGTGTTGAATTTGTGTTTGTGTGAATAGTTCATTTAGACGTACCAAACATATGTAGATATTGATCTGAGTCTTGTAGACATTACATTTGCTTCATGTAGAATTTGTGGAATAAGGGGAGGTAATCAATAGAGCTTTCTGTGTAAAATAATCTGAGATATCAACTGTGTTGTGATGTTGTTTGTCAGTTACGGATTTCTAGGTTATTTACTAATTTTGGCAAAGATTCATTTGTAAATATCAGCTGCAAGTGTTAGGAGATTTCTCAAAATCAACAGCTACATTATCTGTTTATAGAGATCAAACACAAATGTTTTTCTTTGCTTTAATAATATTATTGCCAATGTTTGCTTAGGAAGGTTATGGGGCTTTTTAGCAATTAGAGGAGTGAATGCAGTGATGTATCTGGTTGTTTTGTCCGCTTAACCAGTGTACGTAGTCCCTGGTATGTAGATGGGGTTAGGGAGGCCCAGTTGTCTTAGGTGCTGTAATTTGCTGAGCAGAGTTGCTTCCCTTTGGTGAACCAGAAACCTGTGAGTCATGGGTTTGAATCCCAGTTCACCCTGAATCCAAGTTTCTAGGTTTGTCAGCACTATGCGTGTGTTCATGGTTTCACCAAAGCGCTAAACATCTAAAACCTGCACCACTTTGGGCTTTCCTCCCGCATTAAGCTGATTCTGGAAATGACTGAAATACTGTTCAAAGCAGCATTAGACCAAACTCACTGATGTGTGTGAGTGCTTTTTTTTCTCCTCATATGAGGTAAGGGGTGATATTGACAGTGAGGTACAATGAATGTACACGTTTGACGTAGGTGGTTATCTGGATGACTTGAAAGCCCGCATACCCAGACCAGGTAGTGACCGTGACACGGTCAACTCTGAGGAGGGGGTGGTCACTCGGCCGACAGGTGAGGTCAAGCTTGGTGGAGGGACGTGTACACAGATATAACACTCAATATGACATGTAGCAGTTCAGACTCTGCCTTGATGTTGTTGATACTTTAACTATAAGTATACATGTCTGCATAAAAGATTCTGAGGCTTTTTTTTGTATGACTTGGCTTACAGATCGGACAACTCTAAGTGATCCCGAACATGGTAATCACACATCTGAAAATATTTACCGTACTCGACGTAATAAGCGCCCCGCTCTAATAAGCGCCCATGGCGACATTTGCTAAGATATTGGCTAGTGAACAATCCCAATTAGCACCCCTTCCGATTGATCAATGTACACAAGACTTATTTATCCGTGTATAATACGCACTCGTGTGTTATATGCACCCATAATTATTGGCATTTAATTCTGGTAAAAAAATATCTGTCGTACATAAACATTTCAAGCTGTCAGCATAAACCACGAAATTTATTCTTTCAACTATGTTTTTTTTTCTCACCAAAATTTTGAGAGCGCCCTGGACGCTTATTATGTCAAATACGGAATTACAAGATGTTTCCGTTCCTGACCCAGACATACATGCTGACTGACCAGTTATTGTTTGATTAAATCATGGGATATTAATACTATTTGTAGCTTCACCCATATTCACCCAATGTGTAAATGTTTTTTTTTTGTTATTCTGTCACATTTCGCAAAAATGATAATGAATTACACAATTTAAAATGGTATTCATTCTCTTCATACTTGCGGGGCGGTCGGGTAGCCAGGTGGTTAAAGGGTTCGCTCGTCACGCTGAAGACCCGGGTTCGAATCCCGACATTGGTACAATGTGTGAAGCCCATTTCTGGTGTCCCACGCTGTGATATTGCTGGAATATTGCTAAAAACAGCGTAAAACCAAACTCACTCACTTTTCCTACTTGCCCTAATTTACAAGTGTAAAATTTTGTTTCACCCTCTTACTCAAGGTTTTGAGAAATCCATCTTTAAGCCAACTCATACAGAAAAAGACCTTAGTACAAATGTCTAACAGATTACTATAATGCAAACCACTGATACAGAGTTTCCTATATGTCCCAAAGCTTTCCTGGTATATTCCTTCGTCAGTTTGTATCTGCAAATATATTTGAAGATCCGGGTTAAAAGTCTTATGCAACCCATGCTTGTCATAAGAGGCGACTAACAGGATGGGGTGGTCAGGCTCGCTGATTTGGTTGATGCATGTCATCATATCCCAATTGCGTAGATCAATGCTCATGATATCAATCACTGGATTGTCTGGTCCAGACTCGATTATTTAGAGATTGCCATCATATAAAATGTTAAACAACAAACATATAAAAAACAAAAACAAATTGCGTCTGTGCATGTGGTGTCGTTGTTTGATGTGAAAGCCCTGAGCAGACTAAAGACCTGTCCAAATGGGGATTGGGTGGTTACCTTGCATGACTGTATTCAATGTGTACCATGTACCAAGATGGCATTGATTGGTGCTCATGCTATTAACCACTGGTTTGTCTGATCCGACTTACCAGTAATTATTAACAGACCAATTGGACTGCAGCACAGAGCAACATTCAACTGTACATATGACACCAGGTGTCAGTATCAATGCTTGTATTAGTTATGACTAATGCAGATTTTTATAATGCTAGCCCATGCCTCACTTAAACATGAATACCCCACTCAGTCACAGTATATGGACTCCTAGCGGACCAGTCCTTGTTTTAGCCCCTTTATGCCGAGTGCCAGACAGGGTAACAACAAGTACATCTTTTACTTTTTTTGGTGTGAAGCGGCTGGGGATCAACACCCCACATTCCGCTCTCCAGGTGGACGCTCCACAACTAGACCATAGATGCGGTCCCTATTATTGATACACAACCTGTTGATTAAATGACTTCATCATTACTTCGCACCGCAGGTCTGTATACATTCCTCCATCACCTGTGAATACATATGGCTGGTATACAGTGTAGTTGTGATGTGCAATAAAAGCAATGATACAAGGCTTGTATAACTCATGGATATCAAAAAGACTCTATACTCCATGATGCAATGACACAAGGCTGTGTATAAGTCATGGACGTCAAATAGACCTTATACTCCATGCATGCAATGATACAAGGCTTGTATAACTCATGGACATCAAATAGACTCTATACTCCGTGCATGCAATGAAACAAGGCTGTGTATAACTCATAGACGTCAAATAGACCTTATACTCCATGCATTCAATATAACAAGGCTGTGTATAAGTCATAGACGTCAAATAGACCTTATACTCCTTGCATGCAATGAAACAAGGCTGTGTATAACTCATAGACGTCAAATAGACCTTATACTCCGTGCATTCAATATAACAAGGCTGTGTATAAGTCATAGACGTCAAATAGACCCTATACTCCGTGCATGCATTTTGTGTGAACCCTACGTGTGCCTCACTGCCGGCAGCAGATATTGAAGCAGTGGCGCATGTTATCTAAGAAATACTGCGATTTGTGCGATGTAGTGAGCACTCATTGGTCAGTGTACTCGCAAGTTTCCCTCATATGGAACCAGGCCATGGTTTGATTCGTTGGTTAAAATAGCATATACACTAAACCTCATATTGGCCCCATGTATTCTGTGAAGTGATGATGATGATGATGATCAGCTTTACAGTGTGACAGCAAGCACCTGCTGATGTGTATTCAATTAGGGGCTGACCATGTTATGGTGGCTGGGGGAGAAGTTTAAATACAGAAGGTGTTCCCAAAAATGTTTGATTAAATTTAAAAAAAACATTTGTCCTCCACTTTTACCAAAAGAGAACTGAAAAAAATCCCAGGCCTACTCACCCCTTCTCCCACCCCCCCTCAATGAATGATAAATGGTTGGTCCCTTCGCTGTGGATGTGTGTATTGTACAACAAACACGAGATGTAATTGTAAATTATGGATTAGTCAGCACTGGCGTCATGCTACTGTCTTCATTGGATTGTTTGTAGTGGTGTCAATGTTGGGTTAGTGTTTAGCAGTTATGTTTTCTCAAACAGAGGATTGTTGATTTTGGAGGAATATGTGCATTGAATTTCGTATTGTTCCTGATGTAACACTGTTTTCATCTGTAATGATTATCTATTCTAATAACCATTCCGCCTCTGGGGCTAGTGGATAGAGCATTTGCCTAGAGAGCAGAATGTTGGTGACTCGATCCCTGGTCGCGTCATACCCAAAGACTTTAAAAATGGTACTTGTTGTTTCTCTGCCTGGGGCTAAAGCAAGGACTGGTTGGCTCGGAGTCAAACAAAAACACACACACACACATGTGCATGCATTTTACTGTATAAATGCAATAATCTGGGAATGCATTGAACCCTATTTCACCTCACACTGTTAATTAGAAATAGTATCACACAGATAAAAATAAATTAAAAATGGATGTTTTCAGTTCAATTTAGCCCTTTTGCATATATAACACGAATGACCATCATTTGTTTCTGGAACCTAGGTCCTCAATACCCTATGAGACATCGGAGATCTCACAGCAGCGAGCCGCGGGGAAAACCCCCCCTCCCTACCCTCCCTCGTACCTGTCTCACACCACCCTCCAGTCCCAGGCGAGGTTTGAAATGAGAATTATATGTCATAGTCCCAGTTTTCTCTCTTTCCACAGCTCTCTAGTCCTGAAACCTGAGTCGCTTACATCAGCCTTAGATTTTATGACACTTCTGTCATCTTTTTTAGAAATGATGTCCACTGATGACGGATAGATCCTCTATAGACACTTCTCACACATTGATGAGTTGGCCTTTCTCTGTCTCACAATGACGTCACTCACTGTTCTTTATAATCTTATTGGGTTGAACAAAGTGAGTAGTTTCATCCACAGCTTGTACACTGCCTCAAGAGAGTCCTGTTAATGGCCACATCTTGAATTGTTCTGCTTAGTTTCAGCTTTTAGTTTAACAGCATTTTGAGTCCTCGAAAGGAATGCATTAGAGCTTTGAGACTGTAGACACTAATTGTTCCAGATACGTCATAGAGGTGTCACAATACGCCTACCTCAAGTATCGATACATTAGCTATAGTATACTTATATCATGAAACTTCATTTGCTATTTTTTTGTTTGAGATTCCACAAGAGGTTGTCAACCAGTTTGTGTTTAACTTACTCGACTTGTTAATTTAGGCTCGGTCTCTCAGTATGATGCAATCTGGTTTAGCATCTTGTTTTCTGACAGGTGGAAAGGTAAAGCTAGCCTGAGTAGTCATCTGACTGGGTTATTTTGCAAAACGTAGAAGGCATTACTTTTAAAAATACAGAATTAAATTCATGAATCGATACATGGGTAGGCATATTGTTCAATCTCATTAAAATCAGATCTTAGTTCTCGTTATCCCCATCTGAGGACATCCCATTACGGGTCATGTCAGAACGACCTTTCATCCGACCAATCAAAGCGTTGCTTACCAGATCATGAAAGTGACAGTCGGAATGTGTTTTCTAATCATGCAAACTCGAAAACATTAACACAGTGTATTCCGAATGACAGTTACGGCTGTACGACTGATTCCGTCAAAATTATCGTCTATCTTTCGCTTCCGTGGGATAAACATTTGAACGGAGGACGCGTTGCACAGTACGTGGGAAGCACTGCTATACAATCTCAACCATATATTAGACATTCTGGAATGTTTGTTTGTTCAGTTTTCAAATTTTTAATCGAGAACTGTGTCAACATATTTTTCAAGCGTAGTCTGAAATGGAAGTTGCCAGGTTGAAACAAGTGCCGTAAAGCTCAAGAAAGCTGCTTTCTAATTGGTTGATGTCGAATTCTCGTTAGTCATTTCAGTGGTCAGTCAAAGTTCGCAAAAGGTTGTGACGTGACCCGTAATGGGATGTCCTCAGATCTTTGTTTAGCGGCAGAGAGAACTTAGATCTGATTTTAATGAGATTGTCATATTGTTTATGGTATCATCTGACGTAAAGTTGCAATGTCTATGATCTATACATTGGTGAAGCATGACACCCCTACACTACCGGTACACAGATGATGAGTGGGCATTGTTTGTGCACATATATTCAGACAGTTGTATGTCACATGTACTTGTTGGCATGCACATTTGTGAACAGTCTGTATGCTCATAGTAACACGTGGTCTTAAGGGTTATACCTCTCCCTGTGGCGGTGGGGTAGTCGAGTGGTTAAATCGTTCGCTAGTCACACCGAATACCCGGGGTCGATACCCCACATGGGGACAATGTGGGAACCCCATTTTTGGTGCCCCCCCCCTAGTGATATTGCTAAAAGCAGTGTAAAACCATACTCACTCTCTCTCACTCACTCACTCACTCACTCACTTTATCCCTCCCTATAGCAGATCATAGAAAAGGACTTTTTAATCCTTGCCCTCCTGAAAATGAAACCATAATATGAAATTTGTTTAAGATCTCTTCAATGATGTTTTCAATTTCAGTTTATTAACTTTATGTAAAATAAAAGTATTCATCATTAGAAATGATTTTTCACAACACATTATTATCAGTAAATTTGCAGAAAATACTTGAAAAACTAATTGTGATCAAAGTGTACCCACAAAAATAAATCATTCACTGGGCGTGATGGCTGGTCTGAAATATAAAGTATTGTGAGTAAAAATAAATGCTTGTTCTCCTTTCAAATATTTTTTTTAGTTTTGAAGTACAGACTCTAGTGCAGAATCTGAAGTGCAGAATTCTAGGCGCCATTCCTCCCTCTCTGAGAATTATGGTTGATCCCAAACACAAGACATGACATTATTGTCTTTGGTTTGAAATAGGATTTTGTGATGAATTAATAAACTATTAAGTAAACTATGTTTATAACGAACACGCTTACAATGAATTGACAGAATAACCAACTTATTTTGGGTCCCGACCAGTTGCTGTATATGTGCAGTGTATGTGCTGTGTATAGGCTTATAACGAACTGCGGTTATAATACCTAATATTAGTGGTCCCTTTGAGTCCGTTATAACCATAGTTTACTGTAATTTTTTCAGCATCTTTTCCTTCATGAATCTAAATTATCATTCTTGGGAGAATTATTGTCAAGCTTGGGGGATAAAATGCCTATTTACAGGCCTCCACCAAAGAAAACCATCAGAGAGCTACCAAACTATGGACTATGTACACACTATAAATAGAAATAACCACACACATTACCAACAAGACACAATCCTCATAAAGTGTGAAACATAATGATAAGACCCTGGCACACTATCAATGGAACCAAACACAGTAAATCACTGAGATATTTCCGTTTGTTACGATCTGCATGTTTTACTGTTTAGTTTCATTGAAAGTGTGCCAGGTTCTTATCACTATGATCCAAACTTTATGAGGGTTGTGAATTTTTTTGTAATTTGTGTGGCTATTTCTAACTAGAGTGTGTACATATCCTGGTTTTCTATTGTAGGCCTGAATTCAGATGATATGTGACATTGTTTCCATTATTAGTTTTGTATGACATTTTTTCAGATTGTTCTATAAATACAATGGGAGGGAGAAGACAACCCGGTCACAGACCAGCAGTTGATATATACCAGTGAACTTATGTCGACTTTGCTTATTTGAACAGGTCCAGCCGACCTGCCGCCACACCCAAATCACGTGTCAGTCTTGAGCCGGCCACCCAAACTCAAACACCACTTGCCTCGTCCCTACACAGGTTATGCCAGTGACTTAGAATCTGTAAAAACTGAGGATTTTGAAAGTCGTTTTCAGGATCTAATGATTGGCCAAACTTCGAAGGATACATCCAGCAAGTTAAAAACTCTTTCAAAAAAACTTGCGAATCGAGAATCGCGAGAAACCCAGGTGCAATCAAATATGAACCACAGTGGTGGTTTCTCATGTAAGACTTGCATATATCCATCCATACATGTACTGTTTGTTTATAAACTTATTCACCTATATATGCATGGTAGTGGGACTTATGTAATGCTTCCACAACTATATACACTGCATGCAGCATGTGTCATGTATAACATGGAAATTAGCATGATTTGTCTTGATGCTTTAATATTTGTCGGTTTTGAGAATATCTAATGGCATTTTTGCACAGTTTGCAGTAACATGATGGAATAAGGTTACTCACCCCTATATTTCAAACTCCTCAGAATGGCAATGAATAGTTCTTTCTGATGTAATTTTAAAATAGATAATTATGGACGTATAATCAACTCTCTGTCTTATCTGTCACAGTATAGCTGAAAAATTGCTGATGCGACATAATATTGTAACTCACTTTCTATTGTCTCATAAATGTTACATTGCTGGTATGTGAATATGTATCTGCAAACTTTTTAACATAATGGTTTATGTTATGAACAATATTTTATGAATATGGTATAAATTTTATAAACATATTTTGTTCATTTTAACTTCAAGAATAAATCTATGTTTGTCATATGGTTGTATTATTGTATGATTTTTTTAATTTCTTTTATTTTCTGTGAAATGGTTTAAAATGATATTGTGTTAACTTTGTAAGATGTTATGCTTCCTATAAAGTAGGAGTAATTGTCATGATATGCTAGCTATACTGTGCCACTCCTTTATTCTGGTATCACCACAAGTACATCAAAGGCGACTATGCTTGGCGTAAGCGGTGACTAACAGGATTGGGTGGTCAGGCTCTGACTTGGTTGATGCATGTCATCATATCCCAATGGTGTGGATTGATGCTCATGATGCCAATCACTGGATTGTCTGTTCCAGCCTCAATTATTTACAGACTGCTGTCGTATAGATGGAATATTGCTGAGTGCAGCGTAAAACAACAAACAAACAGATGAGTCAAGCTAAATGAATTTAAAGTATTCAGGAATAGATCTAGCTTTATGTCCTTCTTATTATGCAAATATTTTGTAAATGTATAGTACCAATAAAACAAAAGGTAAGGATGTGCTTGATAGTTGGATTGTTTACATTTTGAAACGGTTCAGAAAGTGTTGACATGTATGATATTAAATTGATGCTGCATTGTCGTTTTACGCAAGTTCATTTGTTCATATTCCAGATCCTAAACCAACTGAGGAATCAAAAAGTTTCCCTTTGGCAAGATTATTCTCAAGTTTTCAAAATAAACCTGCAAGTGAGTACAGTATTAATTTGGCTCTGTTTGAAGCTGATCCAGAAAGGATCTTGCAGCAATTTCTGACTTGATGAAACTTGGGTTCACCAATGACAGAATATCAGTGCATAGTTGTTGATATTCTATGTATTGCCTTGAAATATACCTTCTAAAATAACACGACAGTATTCTACCACCTCAGATGAGTTATTTGTACATCAGCAATTGCATTAACATTCCCTGTAAGGGGATAACAAATGAATTTATCGTCACTACTTCACTGGTTGGTATACACTATGCTTAAAAGGTTTAATAAAAAGATTCACTGCTAATACATGTAGTAAAGTACATGGCATAAAGATTGACAATATTTTGTTCTGCAAGGCACTTCATTATTTCAAATGTGTATTTTCAGAAGAATATGAAAGCTTTTGTCTCTGCTCGTGTGTTTATTTGATGGCTGTTTGTTCCAGATGATCTGACGCTAAGGAAGTCTCCCTATAGTTCCTTGCCAGCACCCGACTCCAGGAGTACCACCGATATTATCAAACTGCCACGCCCTCGAAGTGTTAGTCCTGCCAGGTTAAGGTAAGGCCATGTTTAATCACATGTTTCATTGTATGCAAGAATTATTTATGTGACAATCTTGTTGGATGATTTCTTGATTAGGCCAGACCAATGACGATTTCTGTTTTTTGATTGTCTTGGTCTTTATGCCAAAGAACTGCAGGAATTGATTGTCAATGTTGAGTTATGTCTAACTATCTAAAACTAGTGAAATAAAAGTTTCACAAAAATTCAAACCATATTGTATTGCAAAGAAGGATACAGTGTATTTTTCACTTTGTGTCAGTTCATTGGAGTATGAACCTTCATAGAGTGAGGGCCAAACTGTATGAACATTGGAGCTTACCTCAGTAAGTCAGTCACAATGACAGCGTGTCGGAATACATTTACATCAAGTACAAGACGTCAAAATGGCCGACACGATAAACGTGACAGGAGAGATTTCTGAAGTTGTTAATGAGCCTGTGGCGGTTAACCAGTTTAACCAGTGACATCACAATGGTCTGCAAAGCATTGTGATGTAATTTCATTGCAGCGATATCTACAGTGTAGATATTGCTTGATCTCATCCAAGCGATATCTCCTGTGGGAGCCAGTTTTGGATGATAAATACCCTTGACATACTGATCAAATACCATGGGATACTCCAAGACAACATGGTGTATTTTGGCATTCTGGAGTTTTACATACATTACACAGAGATGTAATACACTAGGGAAATGAGGATGGCTCAAAGGCCACATGCTAATAATGCATTACCACCTCCGACATTATGATTGTCAGCTCTTGTCCTTGTCATATTGAAAGAAAGGTAACATCAAAACTAGATACCCTGTATTTGTCACATGTATGTCTAATGTATGACTAAGGTATACAAATATCTGGCCTTGCTTCACTGATACCTAAAAACATTGTCAACTTTATTGCTATGACAATTATGTACTGCTTAGGAACTGGTTATTTATTGTAAACAAACAATTTTGCACAAGAATCCAAAACCTATCTATTAAGGGAGTGGTCATTTATTTTAATGGGGGGCTGGGTCAGAGGGAAACAGGAGAGGGTCACCAATAAATATGACTCTCTAGGGGAGGGTCATAAAAAATAATACTTATATTCGGGGAGGGTCATGAAAAATTGGACAGTATATATAATAGAATATAAAGTGCTTTGGCATTTTGTCTTCTTAGGGAGGGTCATGACAAAATGTACAAGAACTGGAGGTGGGGCATCATAAATATGTCAAGCATTAGAGGAGGGTCATTATTTTCAGTACATTTGAAAGTGCATCAAAAATCTCTGATGATGCCCGCATGCTCTCTCTCTCTGTCTCTCTCTGTCTCTCTCTCTGTCTGTCTGTCTCTCTCTCTCTGTCTCACTCTGTGTGTGTCTTCTCTCTCTGTCACTCTTCTCTCTCTCTCTGTGTCCCTCTCTCTCCTTTCTCTGTCTCTTTTTCTCTCCTTTCTGTCTCTTTCTCTTTCTCTTTTCTCTTTCTGTTTCCTCTCTCTGTGTTTCTCTCTCTCACTCTTATCTCTCTCTCTGTGTCTCTCTCTCTCTCCTTTCTCTGTCTCTCTCTGTGTCTGTCTCTCTCTGTGTGTCTCTCTCTCTCTCTCTCTCTCTCTCTCTCTCTCTCTCTCTCTCTCTCTCTCTCTCTCTCTCTCTCTATCTCAAGGTATGAATATGTTGTTGTTGTTGTTGCATTAGGTGTTTAAGAGGTCGCCTTCTGCCTAGGCAATTTCGGCTGACCTGTCCCTCTTTGGGACTCCTGTGTGTGAGAAGGGTTCACATATCTATTGTGACATAATTTCTGTTTTTGCATTGATATGATTTCTATGAATAACTGCCCTTGCAGATTAAATATCCCACAGGATCCTGCCAACTGAGTGTTATTAGTCACCTTGTTTCCCATCACTAATGAGGTTCCCACCTGTGTTTGCGTCGGAAACATGTCAGGTGTGAAACTCTGCTAACCATGGTGCCATTACTCTGCTGAGCCTGTCATCATGATTGTCACCTTGCAATATACAACAACAGATTGCTGTGTGTCAGTATTGGGAGGATCTATTGGCTGCAGGCAGTGATTTAGGAAATGCTGTTGATCACATTGATGATGAGTTGATCAGTGATAGAATTTGTTTGTATGTGAGACCGTATTGACAAGTCATGCAAAATACAACACTGGTTTCATGTCACCTGCTTGATGTGTGATGAATTTGTCAATACCTTGTGATGTGGATGAGAGACGTGGGTGGCAACTAGTTCCTTGTGAGGGTGGTGACATACACTTAAATTACAGACTTAGAAATTTGATTTTTCTGGGACTGGTCCAAAGATCTATAAGTGGCACCGTATTTCATTAGTCCAAAGAGTTTACACGTACTGCTGCTTGAACAAGACAAATATGTTCCAATTTGTAACAAAACTGAAGCACTGAAAACTGGTTCAGAATTACAGCCCTCAAATGCTACAGGTCAGTGAGGACAACCACCATTGAATTTTGACTTGACCTCAGCAAAGTTTAGTAGTCTGGGAGGGGCGGTCGGGTAGCCTAGTGGTTAAAGCGTTCGCTCGTCATGCCGAAGACCTGGGTTCGATTCCCGACATGGGTACAATGTGTGAAGCCCATTTCTGGTGTCCCCCGCCGTGATATTGCTGGAATATTGCTAAAAGCGGCGTAAAACCATACTCACTCACTAGTAGTCTGGGATGGTGGACTAGCGGTAATTTTGAAGTTTGACTTATGTTGATGTTGACCGACCCGTGGAAGCATCGTCATAGAAGACATTACCTAAGAAGAACACCGAAGTAACGGAACATTTCTGAAGTGGCCCGACCTATCCTGTTGGAATGTACGAACACAGGTGAGTGAGATCTTATCACTTAAACTTTTGTAACTGAACATAGCAGATGTTTGTAGTGTTCTATTATACACCTATCCAACACACAGATCTTAATGCTACAACTATCGTAAGTCTATGTTAAAGTATGGGAGGTCAATCATCTTAGCGCTAAGACTGTCGTAAGTCTATATGTTAAAGTGTGGGATTTGCGGTCATCTTGGGGCTACGACTGTCATAAGTCTATGTTAAAGAATGAAATGTCATTCATCTTAGTGCTATGACTATCGTAAGTCTATATTAAAGTATGAGATGTATGATTGTCTTAGGGCTATGACTATCGTAAGTCTATATTAAAGTATGAGATGTACGATCGTCTTAGCACTATGACTATCTATGTTAAAGAATGAGATGTCATTCATCTTAGTGCAATGACTATCGTAAGTCTATATAAAAGTATGAGATGTACGATCATCTTAGCGCTACATTACTGTCATAAGTTATTGTACGTAGGGAATTACGATCATCTTTAAGCACTTCGTTCTGTGGAATGGATCTCAGGGATTTACAGGGGTCTATTTGTGATTATTTGGTACTCACAGCCCTGCTTTTGGAGATACCACTCATAAAAATAAGGTTCCTGGTGTGCCACTCTACCAACAACCTATACAATATAAAGTATTTGTAAATCCTCATTCAAATTATAGCTCGCTGCAAATAGCTGTCATATTTGTGATGTAGTGTTATGCACACTCAAATCACTCACTCACTCACTCACTCACTCACTCACTCACTCACTCACTCACTCACTCACTCACTCACTCACTCACTCACTCAGTTCAAATATTCACATATACCTTTTTGCACCCCATGGAGTCCAAAGTATTTGCTTCCATTCTCAGTTTTTATTACATATAGGGTGTTGTCTAGTCAGACACTTATTCCTCTTTCTTCTAATAGCCACAATAATGATCAGAACTAGAGATTCTGTTCAAATAGGTTAGACAGTCGTAATGCTAAGATCGTCTTCAGAAACTCATGCTTACATGTTGTTAGAGACAACTAACATTAGGTGGTCAGGATCACTGACTTCACTGATCAGTCCTCTGACGTATTCCACGTTTCCATGGTCGCAGAATATTTTGCAGAATTGTACTCTTGATGCAGAAATGTACCCATCGGAAAATCCCTTTTGTGCAGAACTTACAAAGTATTTTACGGAATTGGTGAACTACACTGCAGAAATTAACAATGTGAAATGGAAGCGTGGCCTCAGTATGTGAAAGTTTCAGGTCAACATGGGAATTAATTGTTTTTGTATTTCTGTATTACTTTATATAATGATTTGAAATTATTCTATTATTTGTGTAATTTTAGAATAATGGGAGAACCTTCTATGATATATTCTTTTAAATGAACATGTTCAAATCAATATTATGGTTTTCTTTTTAAGTGAATCCAACTTTTATATGGTGATGACAGGAAGCATTGTCTAATGGTTTCATGCGGTGACTGTCAGTTCACAAATCAGGGGCACGGGCGGCCCAGCCATTAAGGCGCCGCGATTCGCTGTGCAGAGTTGCGTCCCTTGGGCACGCCAGAAACCTATGATTGTGGGTTCGAATCCCGGTTCACCCCGATTATGTTTCTAGGTTTGTCAGCACCTTACCCGTGATCGTGGGTTTCACAGAAGTGGTAAACATCTGAGACCTGCATCACTTTGGGCTTTTCTCCCACGTTAAACTGACACGCTGCGATATAACTGGAATACTGTCAAAAGCGGCGTTAACCGAACTCACTCACTCAGTTCACAAATCATGGAGAAAATAGAGTTGATAAAAAAATTAGCTTAAGAGATTGCTGAATTTATAGGAGAGTATTTAAAAAAAAATTAATTTAGCAGCGACTGGTTGATGCATGCCATTGTATCCCAATTGCATGGGTCAATGATCATTATGTCAGTCACTGGATTGTCTGGTCCAGACTCGATTATTAACATACTGACATAAAAAAACTGGAATATTGCTGAGTGGAGAGTTCAACAAGAAATAAAAAATCATATCCAGAGTGCTAATTCCATACCCCAGGAAGAGCAGAAATGTGAGACTGATTGGGAATGTCAGCTGCTCATACCCAGTGGCCGAAGTGGCACTTGTCAGTCAATCTTGGAATCCATACTACCACGGACACTGGCAATCACCCAGTGTCTCCACAAGTATTAGCATACACGTCACAAATGTCGTGACCAGGTGATTACCTTTATCAAATAATTTGCCTTTGTTTCACCACCTGATCTGGAATAGATGATTTAACGATTACCATGGCAACACATCAGTTGCTATCATGTTGTTCATACAGTGCTGCTTTGTGAAGCAGCGGGAGGGTTGTCAGTTGTATGGAATGGTGTGAATTGCAAACCAAGGTCATGACGGTGATCATGACATGAATTGAATGATGGCGGAAACATACTCTGCTTGAGTGTACTCTATTATGGGATGTGATTGGGCACCCAGCCATGGAAACTCCTACTTACTCACTCCATGTACGTATAATGATTTTTGTGTGTTTGCTGTATTACATCTGCTCCAATTTCTTAGGATAAAACACTGAATAGTTGTTCAATTGATATCGTGATTACAACCAGACAGAATTTCTTACATGAGTGTGATGTAATGACAGGATATGACATGACTCCATGTTTTACCCTCTTTAGAGAACAACAACAACTTTGAAACCATTGAAAGATGGATGGCCTTTTTCTTCTTGCTTCTTGGGTTCAAAATTTGCTTATTATAGACTAATATATGAATACAGACTATCTCAACTGGTTTAACTTGTGTTCAGTGCTAACTGTCATTGGGTGATTTCATGGGTAATTAAATAGGTTCCGGAGAGAAGACTGAGAATTGGAGTATTGTTGCTCTATAACAGTTTCTATTTCCTACATGTATGACATATGAGGAACTGGCTTTTTGTGTGATGATTAGCACGTTTCTAGATAGTGTAAGTCCTTCGTTGTGAATCATGGTATTGATAATTTGGGCCAGCAAGGTGTGAGGCATAGTAGTTAAGGTGGCCTGTTTGGTTCACTAGTTTTGCCAGATTTCATTAACGTATGATCTCTTTCCATGTTTGCAAGTCTCTTTTCATCAATTGCATGTTTGGGTTAATAACAACATCAATTCAAAGGGTATGCCAAGGATGTGTCCAAAAATCAGATTTTTTAGTTCTTTCATGGCTTTATGCAGTTTCATTTGAGTAGACGTTGGACCCATGCATATTTTCACTTCCAAATACTTTCAGAACAATATTTCAAACTTCACCTGAACTTTGGCAAATCAATGGGACCTTCCCTTTTAGCCTGCAATAAAAGTTATACTGAAACTGCTATTGTGATGTACAAGAGTAGGTGAGATGGGTATGATGCTGTTTTGTTTACCGGTAATTACCAGTTTTTTACCGGTAAAATTTGGCTTGGACCGGTAATTCATGTGACTGCCAGTCCCTGTGGACCGGCAAATAATGTACCTTATAAATCTTTGTTGTTGAACAAAACAGGTGATATTCATATAAGTACATTTTGCGTACAAAGTCAGCTTGTCTGTTACCATCAGGGTTTCCCCTTGTCTATTTCTCGGTTAAATATCCATTTGTAGTGACTTCGTCTCAAAATATTATAAAAAAAAGAGAGAAAATTGTGACTGGAGTTTGTGTGAATGACGTAAAGATCTCAGTTATTTCAGAGATTACATCTTTGCACTGAACAAGATGTTGAAAGAATTAAAACCAAATAATTTTCAAAGAAAACATGACAGCAAAAGATGGGGTGGGGTTGCCAAAGTTTATCACAGCTATAGAGAGGGGGGGTCATGAAAAAATTAAACCATACTAAAAAAACATCATTTAGTATTTAGCGACTGGTAATTTATTAAGGGGGGGGACATGAAAGGATGTTGCATATATTTGGGGGATCAGCCAAATATCGGGGGCATTTTATCGGGGGCGTCTAAGGCGCCGCGATTCGCTATGCAGAGTTGTGTCCCTTGGGCATGCCAGAAACCTATGATTGTGGGTTTCGAATCCCGGTTCACCCCAATTATGATTCTAGGTTTGTCAGCACCATACCCGTGCTCTTGGGTTTTACTGAAGTGGTAAACGTCTGAGACCTGCATTACTTCGGCCTTTCCTCCCACATTAAGCCGACACGCCGTGATGTAATTGTAATACAGTTGAAGCCTTTTGGTGATCGGCAGTGCCCAGAATCCCAGGTGCTTTCATCACGTCAACAGAGAAGCACTGCCCACACACTACAGCGCCTCTGCAAATGCGTGGATGACAGCCAAGATTTTTGAAGATTGGTTTTTCCACAAGTTTGTCCCAGCTGTCCGTGACCATCTCCGATCACGGAACTTGGAGGAGAAAGCCATCCTCCTATTGGATAACTGCCCCGCCCATCCCCCAGCAAGTACATTGCAGTCGCATGATGGACTAATAAAGGCATTCCTATTGCCGAAAAACACGACCTCCCTCATTCAACCGCTCGACCAAGGGATAATCAAAGCATACAAGGCACATTATCGTAGATTCTTAGTGAGTGCGTTGGTGGATAGAGGATTGGACCCCGTTGCGTTCCTGAAGACAGTCACAGTGAAGGATGCTGTTCTTCACACATCCAAAGCCTGGATGAAGGTGATGCGAGCCACCATCAACAACTGCTGGATGAAGGGACTTGGGCCAGCATTCGGGGTTGACGAAGATTTTGTGGGGTTTCAGGAAGAAGATGTCATCGATGCTGTACAAAAGTTCCGCGACTATGCTAAGGAGAACAGCATCGATGTATCCCAAGAGACGGCCATGACGTGGAACGCGTGCGACGACAACCTGCCGATTGCCGAACTTCTCAACGACCAAGAGTTGGTTGCCGCAGCAATGCCCGTTGAAATCATCGACGATGAAGAGGAAGAGGAAGACGGTGACAGTGAAAACAGTGTACAGCCAATGGCATCCTTCGTGCGAGATGCCATTAATGGGGCCGAGCTTTTATTGCGGCACTTAGAAAAAAGTGACAAATACGAACAGCTTCATGTGATGCAAGTCGGCTGAATACTGTCACAACTGAGAAACGAGGAACGTGACAGTCAGAAACAATAAAAAATTAGTGACTTTTTTAGTAAATAGAAATGTGTTCATACATTACGTCATGTACACGCACCATTTGCATATCAAGAATTTTGAGTGCAATTTTCCCTTTGGATAATTATCATTATTAACAGAACTAAATATATCTCTTATCCACTCAAATCTACGTTTGTGTTTGTGTTTGATTTTTATAAATCGCTCAAATAACCGTGTAGTTAGGCACGTCATGTCAATGTACATTGTACATAAAGTGCATACAGAGAGCCGGCCGTGTCATTGACACGTCATTATTTATTAACCAATCACAGCCTTGGTTGCACATTAGTTTCGTTACAAGGCTGGTTTGGCTTTGTAATGTACTGTCATTGATCGATAATGTGAGTAGGTCGGCGATCGGACCAATTTTCTCCCGAAAAACTTAAAATATAATAACACATATTTAGATTCTACATGTATAACATCCAGTCGTAAAATAATACAGACTACTTTGATTAATTTACACAAAGTATTTTTATTTTTTTACGCATGCAGTTTGAATCATCATCCACGATCAGTGTTACATAGATCTACATGTCCCATGCCACTGTGAAATAATTGTGCCACTGTTCCATTCACTACCATCATTACATAATGTGAACCTCAGCAAGGAATATCTGTACAATGCTCTTTCCTACACCGCGGGGTCAGTTTCTTGGACCCCGATGACAGCGGTATATCGAGGGATCACTGTACTGTTCAAAAAGCGGCGTTAAACCCAACACACTCACATGCGATACAGTCCTGACCTCACTGCTCCCCATTACCAATAATATATTGCCAGTCCCCATATAGTAAGAAATGACTTATTCTTTGTTTCTATTGTCATACACTGTAGGTTTTGCATACTTACCATTTATTTATATTAATAGACTGCCTCCATGGTCTAGTGGATAGATCATCTTCCCTGAGAGTGGAAGGTCAGTGGTTCAATCCCCTGATGTGTCATACAAAATGATGTTAAAAGATGGTACTTGTTACCCAGTCTGGTGCTCGGCATTAAGGGGCTGAAACAAGGACTGGTCTGAGTCACTATACTGTGTCTGAGTGGGCATCCATGTATTGCATGGTATCTCAATGGGCCAGCACTATAAAACCGGCTAAGTCCTGACTAGCACAAGCAGCCACACACACTTGTATATGCAGCTGTATAAGTCGCTTCTTACAACAAGCAGGAGGGTTGCTGGAGACCTGTTCTAACCTGGATCTTCATGGAGGTGAGCAGCAACTGATGGCCATGGTGGAGACATCCTGCATGCTCAATGTGATTTGTTTGTCTGTTTGTTGTTTAATGCTGCACTTAGCAATATTCCAACTACATGAAGGTGGTCAAATTTTCAAGTCAATCTCAAATCAAAGCCATATTTGAAGATCAACTCTTCATGTTTCTGGTGTCCTGTTATAAGTGAGTGAGTTGGGTATTCCAGATATATCACAGCGTGTCAGCTTAATGTGGGAGGAAAGCTCGAAATGATGCAGGTCTTAGTCGTTTACCACTTTGATGAAACCCATGAGCATGGGTATGGTACTGACAAACCTGGAAACAACAAAGTTGGCGGGGGATATAGAAACGGACTCCATCCGTACGTCCATCCGTCACGTTTCGTTTCCGGAGCATAACTCAGAAACCGTTCAATATTTTTTCATGAAACTTTGCAGGTTTGTCAGGTACATGCTGAACTGGTGCCTTTTGCTATTTAGAAATTTTAGAAATTTTTATTTTTACGTTTCCATGGTAACAAGATGGACATAGGTTCCAAACACATCTTTTTTTAACAATTTCCATGACAACTTCCACCTCGGTTAGAAAAGGTTAGGGTTTGTTTAGATTTAATTATGTCATAAATTCTGCAACAGGGGCGGGGGATATAGCCACGTTAGTGGCAAACTCTTGTTACCTTCCTAATGGCCATCTCAGCCTTAACTAATCAATACCTGTTGAATCTGATGTATGTTTCAATCCCACTATTCCTGCCTCTGTTATTGATCGGCTATGTTTGTTACATTAGCAGTACAGTTGGTCACATGACTTGTGCTGCCACGCCCTGTACATAAGTGTTAATTTGCTCCAAGTCACTAAGAACATGGAACATGGATACTAGGATGCAGTCCGTTCTCTTGAAACGATTCATGACGAATCTGATTAATATGGCATGACAGAGGATATTTGTGTTAAGCTTGCTGTCACTATGAGGTATGGAGTGATCGTTCGTTTATTTCTGGTGTGGCATCGCTGATTGCATGCTGTCATCGACTAAGAGATGTTTATGTGAATCACAGGCTATTATAGTTTGACAGGTGAACACTGTCAGAATGGCATAGGTGTTTGTTTTAGGATTATGACTGCTGATTCCGATGTTTGTTCAGAATGTCCAAAATGGTCAATTTTCCATTTCACAAATGTAGTGGTATGGTAACACATAACAATATTCTATTATATGTAAGAATTCAGATAACTTTGTTTTATATGAGGGAACACGGACATATATGATGAACTCACACATGTAATGAACATGTTACCTTCACAAAATTGTCTTTGTCTGTTGATTGCCAGATTCCTGTCTTAACATATGACCATGCACAAATACACATCTGGTCCAATGACATGTTGTTCAATAGTTTACTGCTTAGAGTGATTTTGTAAGTGTTTATGGTCTAATTATTTGCTTGTTTGACAAAAGTAACTCATTTGACAGACAAAATTCTCCTTTCTTCCTTTTCTATCACTTTTGATCTTGCTTTCTTTGTCAAATTTCCTTCTTTATCAGTCATATATACTTTCTCAGTCATATTGCCTTCTTTCTCCTTTATATTTCCTTTTCTGTACTATTTATTCTTTCTCCATTATGTTCCGTTCCCTCCATTATATATCCTTCTTTCTCCATATATTTCCTTCTTTCTCCATTACATGTCCTCCTTTCTCCATTATATATCCTTCTTTCTCCATTATATTTCCTTCTTTCTCCATTATATATCCTTCTTTCTCCATTATATTTCCTTCTTTCTCCATTATTTATCCTTCTTTCTCCATTGTATTTCCTTCTTTCTCCATTATATTTCCTTCTTTCTCCATTTTTATGTTCCTTCTCTCTCCATTATATATATATATCTTTATCCATTATATATCCTTCTTTCTCCATTGTATTTCCTTCTCTCTCCATTATATATATATCTTTCTCCATTATATTTCCTTCTTTCTCCATTATGTTCACCTTTGTTCTGTTATATTTCCTTGTTTCTCAATTATATTTCCTTCTTTCCGTGATATCTCCTTTTTCCGTTATATCCCCTTTCTGTTATATTTCCTTCTTTCTGTTATTTCCTTCTTTCTCTCTCATTTGTCCTGTTTTGACTGACAAACAACTCTCTTTTACCGTCACTCTACTTTCTCTTCATCCTTTTCTTCCTTTCCTGTGAAATCTTCTTTCCCTGACATTCATTCTATCAATTTCCATCTTTCCTTCTGTCTTCTTTCCTTCTTTTTCTCATTTACCTGGGTGTGAGTGAGTTGGGTTTTGCTCTGCTTTTAAGCACTATTCCAGCAATACTACGATGGAAGAACCAGAAATTGTCTTAACATATTGTATACATAAGAGCATAGAAACCTGGGCATGAGAGAACACTTTAATAACTTGGCTACCCATAGGTAGGGCTTTATAGGTCAAGTAGGCCTGTTTCACTGTTTGGATTAAGATCAGAAGATTCATGAAAAGCTAAAATAACTATTTGTCCTGTGTTTCAGTGCCTTGGTGAATGATGGTCACTCATCAAAACCAAAGAATGGTGGACTCTTCTCTTGGGATGATGCTTTCTGGAGGGGAAAGACGTTCTGCACAAGACCTGATTCCTCTTCTTCAACCTTCGAGGAGGTGGAGTCCTTATGCCTGTCCAAGTCTTCCTCATCTGCAGAGTCTGTCAATGAGAAGAGGCTGTCCCTGTCTTCAGCTGTGACTAACTCGTTCACCAGACAGAGCTCCATCACCAGCAACTCTACTGGGACATCCAGTGGGCATTTGGCAGACAGAGATTGTTCTAGTTCTGAGAACAGGTCAAGAGCAGCTAGTTCTGTAGGATCTCTTGTCGATGATTTTGACAGATTTGACTCACCACATCAGTTGTCTGATAATAATTATATGGATAGAATTTTCCAGCGTGTTTTGGAATGGAATGTTGGTGAAACTTCAAGTGATTCTATGAAGTTTAGAAATGTTGGTGCCATTAAAACACGCTCAGCCTCTTCAGGTTTACTAGATTTAAGAGTTACAGCTGATAAGAAAGCACGCCAGAAGGTTTTAATCATCCCAGATGAAGAGGAAGGTGATATTCCTTTTGCTAAATTGAAATTCGCCCATAAACCAGATTTTCAAGAAATAGCTGAGATAAGCTCATTGAAAGAAATGTATCCTGTCAGTCAAAGTGTAAAATTTAGACCTCATCTGAATGGTGATTCCAGTGGAAAAAGTAACCGCAGCTTCAGCATATCCACTTCTTCATTAAGCACAGATGTCTCCTCTTGGCAAGAATCTAACAAGCGAGATGCGTTCCAAAGACGAAACACGTCAAATTTCACTGATTCCAACCATAACCAGAGACAGCACTGCACCAGTGAAGACAATCCTCCCTCCTTCCCTCCTGCCCAACCCCTAGATTACTATCCTCCTTTTAACCCTTTCCTGCCAGTTAATGCAGAACGCATCTTGATCAATCTTGGGTTCAGTGGCTCAGATTGTTTACTGCCAGAAAGGTTCCTCAAGGATTGGTACCAGAAGATGGCCAAAGCACAGAAAGAATGGGGTCAGAGTCAACAGTTCAGTGATTGCCAGGAAAGTGTTGATGAAAATTCTCTACCTAGCATGGGCACATCCGGAAGGACAACTCCAAACCAGGTCTGTTTGTATCCAGAGCATTTTCCAATGAACTGCCTCCCAGGAAAGTCCTTACAACGATCAGCAACAGTTAGCTCCTACCAGTATCCTGAGGGCCTTGACATTTCCACGAAAACGCATTACAAAGAACAAAAACGATTTGGTGCCAGTGGAGAGTTTGGAAGCTCCAAGAGGAGGCGACAGTGGGCAAATACAAGACAAAAGTCTTTGCCACTTTTTCTTGAAACATTGAACGAAGAGGATGAAAGTAGGTCTAGAAGAACAAGCATTGACCAGTTTTCACAATTCAAAGCATTCCTGAAAGAGGAGATGATGTCTGTTAATTCGGGGGGATCAAGTCAGGATAACAACATCGATTCAGACAGTGACTCATCAACTTCCGCAGCCTTGATTAACTTTTCCAAAAGTGTTTCTGAAATCCCTGAAGCAGGTAAACAAGATGACAACAAGTGTATGCCTAGTATAGCGATTTCAACAATGTCAGAAGTAGATCAGAAGGAAAAGAAAGTTGCACATGAACACATCAGTCACGAAACCCTTCCTTCTACAGACAGCCTAGAAGTAGCAGATATCATGCAGTACCAGCAAAACAAGAATAATGGAGCAGGGCCTCTTGAACCAGCAATGGTGTCTATTGTGTTGGAGGATGTGGATGGTAATGTAACAGACAGTATGTGCAACAGTACATCTTTCCTCAGTGTTGACAACCTGCATATCCCTCTTTCCGGGTCTTCCTCTACATCACCAATACTGTCCCCTGTGACTGTTATTGAGGTAGGAGGACTTGATAACCAGATGGATAGCCTGGATACAGATGAAAGTACATCAGTCTCAAAGGAAACTGACAGCCTGGCAAGCAACAAGGGAAGTTTTGATAGTGATCGTAGCAAATCTGAATCACGACCTGATGATTGCAAGGTGAGTAAGGTTATTTTGGAAGGAAAGGTAATTGGTCATCAGAGTTGCTCATTTCCAAACCCAGCTCTGAAGGACATTACCAAAGAGAGGAGTGAAGCTAGTGCAAGCCAGTGTAGTTTTGTTCAAGTTGATGATGGAAGATTGTCACCCATTGTAACATTTCCTTCGGTTCAAGTTCTGCAGGAGTGGTTTGATGGGACAACTGATTACTACATTGCTCAGGATAGAAGTGTTCAGTGTGAGATGGAGGCCGGAATGTTTCAGGCCCTGGATGAAGATGTTCATAGTGTACATCTCCAAGACACACAAGCAGAACAGTATACTCAGACTGATCCGGAACAACTGTTCTCAAAGAGTCTTTCAGACAAATCTTCACAAATATCAACACAAACGGTGTCGTGTTCTGTTCAGACTACTATTGACACTGTGGAAGATGATGATGAAGATTGTCAGTGGTTACATCAGAAAGTTCTTGCCAGCACTATGATTTGTCGAAACAAATGTGGACTGAAACATGATGCTGACAAAACAGTAACCACTACTCCTCCTTTGATGGCATTAGATCATATCCTAGTTCCTCCTAGAGACAGGAGACACAGCATTACTGATGACTGGGTAATCTCAAACTTTCGAGCTCAATCACAATCAGAAGAGATGAGTATTAATCTTGAGACTGATATCAGTGAGAAAAAGCATGGGGCGGATGAAGAGAATAAACCTACAGTGTATCCAGAGGTTCCTGTAGAATCAGAGTTCACTTCAGATTCCACTGATGGAAAGACAGGCTCACAGTGTAACGATCAAAAGGAACTAATGCTCAATGAAGATGGATCTCCTATGACTAAACTTGATATTTTTGCGAATGAGTTCTTAACAGGAGCTGAAGAGAAGTGTTCACAGCTGAGGTTAGCTTCAGATACGTCATTTCCTGATAGTGAAAGAAGGCATTCTTTACTGTCGTCTACCCTCAGTAACGACAGTTGGGGAACCCAAAATACAGTTATCTACATGCCAAAGCCACATAGAGCATTATTATCCATGTGTAATGATTCTGAAGTAGGCGACATAGACTCGGGTCAAACTATAACACACAAGAACCACAATGGAGGTGTCGAGAGCCCTTTTTCTACAACCTTGGAAACTTTCCAAAAGATTAACACTGATAAGAAGAATTGTGAACCATATTTAAGAAACTCAAGTGATTCCTTAAGCTTGAGTGTTGATAAGGATGATGATGTTGGTTCTTCAGCTATTTCGTCCTCTATGTCAGTGCAGTCTGACTGGGAGATAGATGATATCAGTGGTCTTGATTCTGCAAGTGAAGCAGATAGTGATGGAAATCTCCCCAAAATTGTTATGGATTCAAAAGAAACAGTTTACATCATGCATGGAGAAATGGAGATGGAACTAATTGATAGATGTATTGATTCATGTACAATTGTAAAGAATAAAGAATTCTTACATGAAAAGAAACATTGTGAACCACAGTTTGGGGTGTTTGGTCTTGATGGAATTGGAGAAACAGAGTTAAATGTTGCACTGGAGGAAAATGATTTTGGATTCAATAACAGATTTGAACAGGTATCTTTGGAAAGTGGTAATATACCCAAAGATGTTAAAGATGTGGATAGAAATGACTCAGATAGCAGTTTATCTCAGAATAGTGGGTTATGTCAAGGGGAAGTATTATCAGGGAGCAATGACTGTGAAAATGGAAGAGGAAGGAAAGCAATGACTGTCCAGAAAGCTGATGCAAAAAAGAAATTTCTTTCTCAATTCTTTATCAATACGTACACTCAGAATCTTTCAGAGAATGTGTCTGAACGTCGTCCACCAACAGTTGAGAAAAATTATAACAAGCAAAATACTTATTGGAAAAGTAGTTCCGGATCACATTTGGGTTTATCTCAAGTGAAACAAATGACAACAATATATGAGTCTGATCATTCTGAGTCGGAGAGTGGTGATGGCTGTAGAGCCCTCAGAGGGAGCAGACATCCAGACATCAAGAAGAGCTGTACATGGAGTGGCAGCCACTTGCCCAAGTTTCTGCCACCAGGCAGCCGGTCCCTGACTGATATGACTGGTGAGAATAGTATGGAACAAGGCTTTGCACAGTTGGCACGGAAGGCCTTTATTTCTCAGAAAGCAGAAAGAGTTACATCTCCCTGTGAATCTTCAGATGGGGAAGCTGGTTATGGGTCAGGACTGAGTGAAATTCAAGACAATACTTGTAATGCAGCTAAACCCATTTCAAGCTCTTTCAATGAGATTCGGTCTGAAAGTGGAGTTTACCGAACACTGTCTAATGACTCTATAGAACACAGTATGGAACGGGCAGAAATGGAGGACTCTCCCCCAGAACAAGATGTGTTGCAAATCTATCAGGCCACATCTGAACAGGAACATACACATATGTATTCTGATCAGAAGAAAGAGGCCAGATATATCTCCTCTAAAACATTTATATTCAGTCCAACAGTTAGTGTGAATGCTGCCAACAGTGAAAGTCAGATGGTGAGTAAGGTATGTATGGCAGCACCTGGAGGTTTTCAGTTGAATGAAGACAATTCATTCATACCTATTGTTTCTGCTATCACTACAAATCCCCAGACCATGCTTACAAGCAGTTCTTTGAGAAGGACTGTCTTCCCTAGACAGAAAGGTATTTCTTCTGTTAAACATGGCAATATCTGTACAGCTCCAAGCTCTAATAAAGTCTTAATGACTTCAAAAATAAAGATGCGCCTTGTGACATCATTGAATTCAAAATCAACATCATCCACCAACAGCTTTTCACCAATCACCCCTTCATCATCTCGGGATGACAATTCTGTTGAAACTTCTTCCTGTTCCTCCAGCTCTAAATCATTCGTTACAGAACAAGAGTCTTTAAGGACAACTACACCTGATCAAGTGGAAACCACTAACAGTACAGCAGAGGATGAGGTAATGGTGCAGTCGGTAGGCCCTGCACAAACTGAAGCATGGCTATATTCCTCATCTGGACCACAAATGAATACATCAAATAATATGAGTCCTGACAGGATAACAACAAGGCAGAAAAGTGTCGAGTTCAGTTTTAAAAAGGGTTGTTCCAAAAGTGAAATAACACAAGGAGATTTACTAGAATCTTCTCCTTATAGAAATTCTTATTCCAGTATGCAGATGTCTCCTAGCATTGACAAAGAGAACCTTGCAGTTGACATCCTTAATGCTGAAGACAATCAAAGCAAATTCCAGGATTGTAAAACAGACAAGCCTGAAGATGTATCAGTTCATAATATGAACAATAAACATTCACTCAGGTCGCAAGATGCAGAGCAGGCTCTACATTACCAAGGCAGATCTTCAACTCATGTGCTGCGTGAATCTGAAGCCTTTAATTCAAACGGAATTCCATCTCAGTGCCTTTCCCAAACTAACAATATTTCCGTGCGGCATCCCAGTTTGGAAAATCCACATGGTCTCTCCTTCAATGATTTAAGTACAGAAATACACAGTATAAGGCAGGAAAGGGAGGAGGGAAAGCGACATAGTGTTGAAGATGGACTTGGGAGAGTACTGAGATCTATTAAGATTCAGCTAAAGCCTGTGGAAGGTGATTTTGAGTGTAAAGAGTTGAGCCTAATCCCTGGTTTTAAGCTTCAGCAGGGCTACAAGGAAAGGCAAGAAAATCCCCTTGTGGCTGAACCACCACCGGCAGACTCTGATAGACCACACAAGTCCCTGGTGGCTGGACCACCACTGACAGACTCTGAAAGACTACACAAGTCCAGGGTGACTGGACCACCACTGACGGACTCTGATAGACTACACAAGTCCAGGGTGACTGGACCACTACTGACAGACTCTGATAGACCACACAAGTCCCTGGTGGCTGGACCACCACTGACAGACTCTAATAGACTACAGAAGTCCTTGGTGGCTGGACCACCACTAACAGACTCTGATAGACCACACAAGTCCCTGGTGGCTGGACCACCACTGACAGACTCTGATAGACTGCACAAGTCCCTGGTGACTGGACCACCACTGACAGACTCTGATAGACTACACAAGTCCCTGGTGACTGGACCACCACTGACAGACTCTAATAGACTACACAAGTCCCTGGTGACTGGACCACCACTGACAGACTCTGATAGACCACACAAGTCCCTGGTGGCTGGACCACCACTGACAGACTCTAATAGACTGCAGAAGCCCCTGGTGACTGGACCACCACTGGCACACTCTGATAGACCACACATGGCCAGGGTGACTGGACCACTACTGGCAGACTCTGATAGACTACTCAAGTCCAGGGTGACTGGACCACTACTGGCTGACTCTAATAGACCACACAAGTCTCTGGTGGCTGGACCACCACTGACAGACTCTGATAGACTGCACAAGTCCCTGGTGACTGGACCACCACTGACAGACTCTGATAGACTGCACAAGTCCCTGGTGGCTGGACCACCACTGACAGACTCTGATAGACTACACAAGTCCCTGGTGACTGGACCACCACTGACAGACTCTAATAGACTACAGAAGTCCCTGGTGGCTGGACCACCACTGACAGACTCTGATAGACTACACAAGTCCCTGGTGGCTGGACCACCACTGACAGACTCTGATAGACCACACAAGTCCCTGGTGGCTGGACCACCACTAACAGACTCTGATAGACTACACAAGTCCCTGGTGGCTGGACCACCACAGACAGACTCTGATAGACTACACAAGTCCCTGGTGGCTGGACCACCACTGACAGACTCTAATAGACCACACAAGTCCCTGGTGGCTGGACCACTACTGGCAGACTCTAATAGACTACACAAGTCCCTGGTGGCTGGACCACCACTGACAGACTCTAATAGACCACACAAGTCCCTGGTGGCTGGACCACCACTGACAGACTCTGATAGACTGCACAAGTCCCTGGTGACTGGACCACCACTGGCACACTCTGATAGACCACACATGGCCAGGGTGACTGGACCACTACTGGCAGACTCTGATAGACTACTCAAGTCCAGGGTGACTGGACCACTACTGGCAGTCTCTGATAGACCACACAAGTCCCTGGTGACTGGACCACCACTGACAGACTCTGATAGACTACACAAGTCCCTGGTGGCTGGACCACCACTGACAGACTCTAATAGACTACACAAGTCCCTGGTGGCTGGACCACCACTGGCAGACTCTGATAGACTACACAAGTCCCTGGTGGCTGGACCACCACAGACAGACTCTAATAGACTACACAAGTCCCTGGTGGCTGGACCACCACAGACAGACTCTGATAGACTACACAAGTCCCTGGTGGCTGGACCACCACAGACAGACTCTAATAGACCACACAAGTCCCTGGTGACTGGACCACCACTGACAGACTCTAATAGACTACACAAGTCCAGGGTGGCTGGACCACTACTGGCAGACTCTAATAGACTACACAAGTCCCTGGTGGCTGGACCACCACTGACAGACTCTGATAGACCACACAAGTCCCTGGTGGCTGGACCACCACTAACAGACTCTGATAGACTACACAAGTCCCTGGTGGCTGGACCACCACTGGCAGACTCTGATAGACTACAAAAGTCCCTGGTGGCTGGACCACCACTGACAGACTCTGATAGACTACACAAGTTCCTGGTGGCTGGACCACCACTAACAGACTCTGATAGACTACACAAGTCCCTGGTGGCTGGACCACCACTAACAGACTCTGATAGACCACACAAGTCCCTGGTGGCTGGACCACCACTAACAGACTCTGATAGACTACACAAGTCCCTGGTGGCTGGACCACCACTGGCAGACTCTGATAGACTACACAAGTCCCTGGTGGCTGGACCACCACTGACAGACTCTAATAGACTACACAAGTCCCTGGTGGCTGGACCACCACTGGCAGACTCTGATAGACTACACAAGTCCCTGGTGGCTGGACCACCACAGACAGACTCTAATAGACTACACAAGTCCCTGGTGGCTGGACCACCACAGACAGACTCTGATAGACTACACAAGTCCCTGGTGGCTGGACCACCACAGACAGACTCTAATAGACCACACAAGTCCCTGGTGACTGGACCACCACTGACAGACTCTAATAGACTACACAAGTCCAGGGTGGCTGGACCACTACTGGCAGACTCTAATAGACTACACAAGTCCCTGGTGGCTGGACCACCACTGACAGACTCTGATAGACCACACAAGTCCCTGGTGGCTGGACCACCACTAACAGACTCTGATAGACTACACAAGTCCCTGGTGGCTGGACCACCACTGGCAGACTCTGATAGACTACAAAAGTCCCTGGTGGCTGGACCACCACTGACAGACTCTGATAGACTACACAAGTTCCTGGTGGCTGGACCACCACTAACAGACTCTGATAGACTACACAAGTCCCTGGTGGCTGGACCACCACTAACAGACTCTGATAGACCACACAAGTCCCTGGTGGCTGGACCACCACTAACAGACTCTGATAGACTACACAAGTCCCTGGTGGCTGGACCACCACTGGCAGACTCTGATAGACTACACAAGTCCCTGGTGGCTGGACCACCACTGACAGACTCTGATAGACCACACAAGTCCCTGGTGACTGGACCACCACTGACAGACTCTGATAGACCACACAAGTCCCTGGTGGCTGGACCACCACTGACAGACTCTGATAGACTTACCTGGCAGGCCAGACAGAATGAGAAGGAAGAGAAAGAGGTGAGGCTTGGTCCAAGGAGTGGAAAGGCCCTCAGTAGTGGTCTCGAGAAAAGGAGGCCTGAATCTGCTGTGTCTGACATTAGGTCCAAGTTTGAGCCTAGAGACATCACCCCAAGTCACAACCAATCATGTGTGTCCACTCCAAAGAGACCAGTTAATACATATATCATGAAGCTTGCCAGCAAGTTTGAATATAGCTGACATTAGGTTCTATTTTGTAGACATGAATTGCTTTAATTTCATTTGTGGTGTTCATAAAAGGAAGCCAGAAGAAACAACAGTGTATATTTCTTATTATTTAATAACCTGCCATGTTGGAAACACTAACATTGTCAACTCTTTGTAATATGTTACCCAACATTCCTGTAATGATTTTTATATTAGGCCAGTCACAATGAAATGATTATAAGAATTTGAGCTGATATTTTCCAAGAACGGCAGGAAGCTTGTTTCTTCATTTTATTTTATTTTATTGTTTTGAATGGCTCTGTTGGCCCTAGCCATGTTTCAGCCAAGTAATGTAAGCTGCTAACCACAGGATGCTTCATAAGACTCGGGCGGTGGGGTTTGATTCCTGACATGGGTACAAGGTGTGAAGCCCAATTCTGGTGTCCCCCAGCATGATATTGCTGTAATATTGCGTCAATCCATACTCACTCACTCACTTCATAAGAGTGAGTGAGGGTTTTTTTGGAAATGAAGTTGGCAGTCGAAATTCTAAGGATCAATCATAGCCTTTCATAGCCTTTTGTCTTGAATGCAAGAATGAATTTGATTTGATAATTTAGTCATTAATACTTCCCAGTTTTGAAATTTGCCCACAATGTGGTGTTGAAGAGATGACCCCACCTTACAGTTGAGTTATTGAAACTATATCTTCTCTTTCAATTTAAGAAACGAGAGATATGGCAATGAATTGATTATAAAGAGGACAACGTAATTCATATTATCTGTTTATCTATTTTTCTGAACAGCAAAGTATATATTTTTTGTTTCATGTTAACCAGATGTAATTCTTTTTGGTGTTACAAAATGTTCTTTATATCAAAGCAATAAAATTATTTAAAAAAATATAAATTTGGTTCATTATATTATAGTGTATGTACACTGGTGTATATATGAAACACTGGTTGAAGGTTAAAAACCAATCAGATCATTTAATGCATTTCGACATTGGGTACATGCCACACTTCCTGTGAGAAAGGTTTTTGGGAAACATTTTCCATCTAGCCTTGGTCTCCCCTATGATCAACTATTTAGATCTCTGAAAAGTAAGTCATAGATTAAATTATTTTCTTGTCTACACTCAATGTGTCACTTCTTCCATTTCTTTGAAAGTTATTTAAGAATTGACATTCACTTTGTGTGAGTTCATTGGAGTATGATCCTTCATAGAGTGAGGGCCAGACTGTATGGATGTCGGAGCTTGCGACGACGTTCACACAATGTTCGTCCCTCACTCTTTGAAGGTGCATACTCCAATGAACTCGCACAAAATCAAAGTCAATTCTTATAATTTTTTATATCACTATTTCTACATCAAATGATGTAGACCTAGATCCATACACAATTAAATTTAGTACGTGTGACTTCATGTTTACACTGACAGCCATACAGGAACCTGCTGTATCGCGGAATAAAATATTTCCTCAAAACGAGAGGTTACATGAGCGTATGTACGATTATTATGCTCTACAGGAAAAACTTTTGTTGTTCTTTACAACAATATTATTCAAATGATGTCATTGGATGAGGAAGATCTGTTACGAACTACATTAGTAAGTCACAATGACGGCACATCATATCACATTTACATCAAGACCCGTGAAGATCTGGGGTAGAATAGGTCTTCAGCAACCCATGCTTGCCGTATAAGGCGACTCTGCTTGTCGTAAGAGGCAACTAAGGGGATCGAGTGGTCAGGCTCGCTGACTTGTTTGATGCATGTCATCATTTCCCAATTGTGTGGATAGATGCTCATGATATCAATCACAGGATTGTCTGGTCCAGACTCTATTATTTACAGACCGCAGTCATATAGCTGGAATATTGCTGAGTGCGGCGTTAAACAACAAACAAACAAGGACAAGAAGTCAAAATAGCTGACACGATAAATATGACGGGAGAAATTTCGGAAATTGTAAATGAACCTGTGGCGGTTACATGTTTTAGTCATCATTGATCAATTGCCCGGTCCTTGAAAGGTGATTGTAAAGATATGGTCCAACAGACACTAATGTAAATTCATAGATTTCTGTAGACCATCACTGTAGTCTAGACACAGATCAAGTCGATACTACGATACTTTGGATGTGCATTTCTTTGTTTTGTTGAGTAGCATGAATCGTAGTGAGGATTTTCATGAACAATCATGCAGTCAAACTCTCTGACGTTTCTCAATGTAAAATAAAACGCTGAGTTCAAGATTAAAGGGTCTAAATGATCAGAAAGAACGCTTCTGTGTGTATTAGTGCTCGAGAAATCCAAGGGCTTCTCCCATGAATGAGGAAGTTGTCCGTCAAGTGTTTATGTCATTTCAAGAACAAGGTCTCGTGAAAAACTATGAATGTCAAATTGTGTCGTTGTGTCAATTTTGCAGTCATGTGACCGACCTCATGTCCAATGGAAAAGCAGTATTTTGTGTAAACTTCAAAATATAAAATTATAGTTGCTTGCAATGAATAAATCAGTTTTATCCATGAGCTTATTACCAAGACACGAGTCAACAAGCACAAGGTCTACGTAGTGTTACCCAAATAACACACCTACCACCATCATGAATACTTTATATGTCTGTGTACACAATGTGTCGCCATCAGTCATGAATGCATAGCCCCGAAATTCTGTGTTGTAGTGACGTGTGTCTATAGATAAACTTAATGTATTTTCTATTTAAAGGCTTCAAAAATAAATTTAATACCTAAGGAAATATACAGGTTTCAAATCTATGTTTGAAACCTCTAAATTGAAAACAGTATGTTTATTTCCATTCTACAATAACAAAGTGAGGAAATTAATGTGAAATCTTTCGTAAAATGGTCGTGAGTAGTGATGAGACCCCGGTTGAGGCTGATGTATTTAGTAGGTTCAATGGTCAAATTCAGGGATTAATGAAGATGATTATTTTTCCGCATATGATTGCTTTTATATACTCAAGCTATAATTTTCACCATATTGCCGAACTGTCTCTACAATAAAATTCCCTAGCATATACCTTGTAAGTATTATTCTGAAGCTTCTCCCTTAGGGAAATGAGACCCATGAAGATCCGGGATAGAATAGGTCAGCAACCCATGCTTGCCGTAACAGGTGACTATGCAGCTAACGGGATCAGGTGGTCAGGCTCGCTGACTTGGTTGATGCATGTCATCGTATCACAAATGCGTGGATCGATGCTTATAATATCAATCACTGGATTGTCTGGTCCAGATATGATTATTTACAGACCGCTGTCATAAAATTGGAATATTGCTGATATTCCAGCTATATGATGGCAGTCTGTAATCAGAGCTCCAGATAAGCTGCGTATCTGCGTGAAATACGCATCAGAAATGCAGAAATATGCAGTAAAATAAAATCCAAGTGTATCAAATACGCAACAGACATTACAGATACGCTACATAAATAAAACTTGTGCCTATCATCAAAATATTGTGAAGTAACCCTGCGTATTCGATTAGCAAATCAGCAACTTATTTTGAAATTATAAACGGGCATTCCGTCAACCTTGCCAAACTCCACGATGACAGTTACCTCAGATCATTTGCCATCACACTTTCTTGTGGAAGTATCGTGGTATTTTTGAGTCCTATTAAGCTCTCGAACCCACACGACACCAGTTTGCAGGGACTAGATGAATAGTGTTTTTAAATATTTAACTTAAATACCCACATGTGTAAAAACAAGTGGGTAACAGAAATTTGAATACCCAGATAGAATTACTGATACCCAATGATTTTAAAATGCATGGGTAAAATACCCACATCACCAAAAGCTTATCTGGAGCTCTGTGTAATTAATCGAGTCTGGACCAGGCAATCTAGTGATTGATATCGTGAGCATCGATCCCCACTTCTATGATGCCATAAATGTTTTTGGCTATGGAAGCAAAGTCCTGTGATGTGGTAGACATGATGTCACACTATGTTATTGAGTAGCGTGGATGTAAAGGTATGCTGATGTCAGTCAGTCAGTTGTGTTCGTCAGGGTTTCTGGCTTAAATTGTATTGGCACAGATGCTTCTGATATTCTAGGTTCCGCAACACAATATTTCGAAGCAGATTTTGAGCAGGGTCATTATTTGATATACTGGTCAAGTTTGTGAAACATTTGCAGTGATTTTTTGTTGTTAAAAAAAATAGTTTTTTATGATTTAGTAATTTCAGAGGTACTTTTTAACATTGTATTTAACATTGCACTCTGTGCAATAATGTTCAATTTAGTATAACAGCCTCGTCCTCATGGCCCAGTGAAATCCAAGTCCCCTTGGCCAGGCCATCACATTAGTTAGAGCTATATTAACATGAATGCTCATTTTGTGTCTCTGAATCTGAAAACTTATACCATGTACATGAAGAATGCGTTTTTGTAAAGGAATTTTGGTTAAAAATTGAAGTGTACCTAAACTTGAAACTTGCATGTGATATTCATATTACCATGCTGGATAAGTTATTTTGCTACAACAAAACAACTATCTTTTCAACCATATAATTCTTCTTGCAAAGAAATACATTCACCAGTCAAGCATTAAGAAAACTCCATTATGCTTTCCTTTCTTCATAAAAATATTGAAAAATGTATGTAAAATAGAAAACTTTATCGCAATGAAAAATACTAGTATCAATAAATTTGACAGAAAATGAAAGGTTATATCTGCCTACTTAACATGCTTAATATAATTTCTCAGTCAATCAATATATGTACATACCCATATCTGATCATGTTTTAAGATTCTATGAATTGCTACACTTGTATACCTCATGTACCAATGGTACATTTATGTCCACTGAAATGAAATAAGAATATTTAAAAAAACACACAAAAAAAACATTAATTGGGGAATTGTAAGTTCCAATGTTGAAATTCTAGCTGACTAGTTGCAGACCTGGGTTCAACTATTGACCTGTGATGTCCAGGATGCCCCTGGTATGTCACACTATTATGGTCAAGCTTTAGTTGTCAAATGTGCAAATGTAGAACTAAGAGCTGAGGTGCTGATACAGAGCCTTCTTTGGGACCTTCAGTATAAGTCAACTGTGATTTAAGTTATAGGAAATTGTTTCAGTGACTGCAGGGTGAGTTGACTATGAAATATGCTGATGTCAGCAATTCCAACGGGAGTAATCCTTACTCCCCAATCAGAGCTAATGTAGGATGAAAATGGATTTATGACTTATCAATACAATTATCATTTCTTGTATAAGTATGTTTACCAGTCATTTCCCAATCTCATTAAAATCAGATCTAAGTTCTCGCTGTCGCTAAACAAAGATCTGAGGACATACCATTACGGGTCACGTCAGAACGACCTTTCGCGAACTTTGACTGACCACTGAAACGAATAACAAGAAGTCGATATGAGCCAATCAGAAAGCAGCTTTCTTGAGCTTTATGGCACTCATTCCAACCTGGCGACTTCCAATTCAGACTAAGCTTGAAAAATATATTGACACAGTTCTCAATTAAAATTTTGAAAACTGAACAAACAAACATTCCGGAATGTCTAATATATGGTTACGATTGTATGGCAGTGCTTCCCAGGTACTGTGCAATGCTTTCTCCGTTCAAATGTTAATCCTATGGAAGCGAGAGACAGCCGATAACTTTGACGGAATCGGTCGTAAGGGCCGTAACTGTCGTTCGGAATACCCCGTTTTAACGTTTTTGAAGATGCATGTTTAGAAAACACATTCTGACTGTCACTTTCATGATCTGGTAAGGGACGCTTTGATTGGTCGGATGAAAGGTCGTTCTGACGTGACCCGTAATGGGATGACCTAAGATCTTTGTTTAGCAATAGCGAGAACTAAGATCTGATTTTAATAAGA